ACTCACGTTGCCCGCCTTGCAGGAGGGGCTCAGGCCGCCGCCGCCGCCGCCTTCGCCCGCCTTGGCGTCGTAGAAATTGGCGGGCTCCAGGGACCAGGTCCTGTAGCACGAAAGCGAGTCCAAGGGGTCCAGGGTGGCGGCGCTCATTGGAAACTCTCGGGTCGGCGAAGTGGGCGAGAATTCAGGGGGAGGGAAGATGGAAAGCGCAAGTCGGCCGGCGCTGCGGGCTCGTGCCTTGACCTGTGGCCCCCAGACGTTTCTCGCTGCCTTGCCGGGGGGTGGGCTCACCTTCGGGCCCCGACGTCTTCCGCGCCTTCGGACTGGCACGCTGCGCTGACGACGCTAGAGAGCCCGAGGCTGAAGTTACACACGTGCGTTTGAACAGGAAAACCTGGCGGCGAGGTGCCGCCACGGCCCTTTATATCGACATCGATGCTCGGACCCCACCTCCTGCCCCTTCTGACGGCGGAGGGTGTGGCCGGAGAAGTCCCGGGAGGTGGAGGCAGCGGGTCTGGCTCTGCGCGCCTCTCGACCTCGCTGCCAAAGGGGCGGTTGGAGCAGAACCGGCCGCCGGGATTGGTCTGCAAAACCCAGGACCTCCCCTGCTGCTTTGCCACCTTTGATCGGGACCGGGAAGCCGAGCTAGGAGCGGCCTTTACCCCCCTCTCCCGGGGGATCAAGCAAAGCATTCTCCGCCTGGCCACGACGGCGGCTCTTCCGCGATGGAAGCCGTCTGCCGTGGCTCGAGCCGCGGGAGCGAAAGGGCAGCGCTCTGGTCCGTCGCGCTCGACTGGTTCCCTGGGCTGGAGCAGCGAAGCCACCGGGAAAGAAAGCCCGTCCTAAGACCAATCCGGGCCAGTCAGTATAATTTGGAGGGACGCTTCGCCCTCCGCCCGATATTACTTGGGTTGGCAGTGCCCACCCACCCTGCTCCTAAAGCAGTGAGCATTTCGTCCACCGGAGTGTGTGCGCGTGCGCGTGAGAGAGAGCGAGAGAGAGAGAGAAGTGGAACAGAAGCCGTGAAAACCCTGATCCTTGCTGTGGCTGCGCTCGCAGGGGTGGGGTGGTGGGGAATGGATCGTTTTCTGACGGCCATCCCGCCCGTTTGCTTTTGGATTGATTAGGCGGCTCAGTTCTTGATCTCAGGGAGAGGAACCGACTTCCTTTCTGAGAGGATGGGGAAAGGCGTTTTGCTGCTCGTTTTGCTTGTCCCGTGCTATGTTCCCAGGCCCATTATAGCCCTGCTAACGCCCTAGATGCGTGCTTTTCTGAGACCTCTGAAATGTCCAAGGTTTTGGTCTCCGCTCTCTTGTGAGCGCACGGCAGAAGGGCTGTCTGAATCCACAGATTTGAACAGTGCTCAACCTGAGTAACTTTAAGAGGGGTGGACTTCAACTCCCAGAATTGCTGGCTGGGGAACTCTGGGAGTTGAAGTCCACCCCTCTTAAAGTTACTCAGGTTGAGAAGCACTGTTTAGAAAGACAGGCCGATCAATATCTGCATCTTTAATCGCAGAATTGCCAACTGAATTATTCGGTGGAAATACACAGGGCTGCACACTTTGACTGCTCTGGTGGAATCCATAAGCCCACTGATACAGATACACATTTTAAAACATACCAAGCATAGATCAAGGCATGCAACTTAATGCTTAATTAAAACTCACTTTAAAGGTGAAATGGCTTGCCAAAACTGTTTAGTAAGCTAGTTATTTATACCCATTTTATCAGATATGGCTAGGGAAATGTCCAAGGTCTGGACTTAACCTTTGACATAGGACATAGCTATGGGATCATGTCTGGCCTTTCCATGTTCCCTCTGCTGCTGCTTTTATGTATACTGTTATTTTTACTTGCCATGGAAAATACCAATTGTATCTCCATCATATTTAATATTTAACTATTGCCCTCTGGTGGCTAAATGTTGCCCATACTGTTATGATTCAGAATGTTTCTTTCTGCTTGGTTAATTTTTGCAGACCATAAGCAATTTTGTTGCCATCTCAAGGCACTTTAAAAAATACAAAAGGGATGTTCCTGATTTCTCAGTTCTAATCATCAGTTTGTTTCTGATTTTTTGTTAATACCATTATATTTGTGGTTTTGAATCATCTTGACTCCTGGCAGCTATGTAGACAAGTCCATGCATTTTTCTTGGCATCGTCTTCAGAAGAGATTTGCCATTGCTTTCTTCCTAGGGCTAAGTGAGAGTGACTGGCCCAAAGTCACCCAGCTGGCTTGTTGCCTCAAGGACTAAAACTCATTGTCTTCTAGTTCCTAGCCCTCTGCCTGTTTTTAATAAAGTAATTAAAATATGAGTATTTTTCAGTTTTCTTCAAAAAGGGGATTGTTGGATTCATATAGTTTAAATGCCATTAATTTAAAAACCAGAAACCATAATCTATTGGTCCATGAGAAAAAGAATCCAAATTCTTTCACATAAAGTGTGTGATACCTTTATTAGGATCAACCAAATTAAACAAAAAGTGTGTGCAAAACTTGATTTCTTCAGAACCCTTAATCAGGAAGACAGTTACCAGTGATACACTGGCTAAGTAGCTTTTTAAACAAAACAACAAAAACACTGTGTGCCAAACTTCACAACAGTTTTGAGAAAATATTGAAAAATTGCTTTCTTTGTAGAAGAGGGTTATGGATGACTATCATATATATGACTATACACTACTGTATTATTACAACAGGAAGTATTATTGTGATTAGTGTCCAGGCATTCTATACAATGGTGACTGTAGAGCTAAGGAAGAGGCTGGCTAGTGGCAAGTGGAGCAAGTAACAAGCTTCAGTCAAGAGCAGAAGTACAAAAATTATACACTTTTTATTGCTTCTAAAAAACATTGACTTGGTGATTAGTACCTGTCTGTCTAGAGAACCTGTTTCTGGACCACCTTAGTGCTTCCTTAACTGTGCAAGTAAAACCAGCTTACAGCCCTGGTTGAGTGTAAGATGATCTGTATAGGAAAACTAATGGTGTTGAGGAGAGGACTTTCTGTAGCTAATTCTCAGCACTCATCACCATATGATGATTCCTATTCCCAGTTTGTCTTAGTAAAAGATAGGACCATATGCACAGTCTGACTTATGAAGAAGTCTTTTAATTCTTATATTCCTATCCCTTAATAAGAGTTTAAATTAAATGAAAAAGAACTGCAATTTTGTACTACTTTCTTAAAGTGAAAATATATAAATGAATAATTATGCACTAGTAGTGGCATGAGCAAGGCTGGAAAGTCAATCAGCAAACATAGATAAACAAAATTCATTGGTCCCTTTCCAACAGGAGCTGATCTGTATTAGAAACTGGTTTCTGAATCCTCTGCACCATCTGTGCAGGGAGAAGGGGTGTCTTCTGTGCTCAGCAGTTGTTTGTGTACTTGAGAATGCTCTTTGCAGCTGCTGGAATTCTTTCCTGCCAGAAGTGAAGCAGGAAGCAAGTCTGGATGGAACTATTTGGAGATCCCTTGTCATCATTTATTTGGTACAATCCTGATGACTAATATGATCAGGATTGTTGAGAGCTATTGCTGTCATTTTTTTGGTACTTCTGCTCATTACTCTTTGGATATCCAGTGCCAATAACTCATTTTTCCCCATCTGTCTCTCTAATATGGCCTGTTCTGCTCTCAAACTTTACATGGAAATTTTTTGTTTCAGCTTTTATGGCAGACACTTTGCCATAAGCCATCCCTCAAACCTTTGCTCTGTCTTTATGAACACTTGAAAGCCATTTGATTTTAACAACTCAGTATCCCAGAGTAAAGGCAATAAATGTTTGTCATAGTACATAGTGATTAGCTTGATGGTTAATCATTCTCTGTGCATAGAAAATGTACTGTACTGTCAGATATTCCTTGATAGATAACATGATACGTTTCCCGATGCTAATTATTAGCCTAGTCTTGGCTTTTTATTCCATTTGATTATCCAGAGAATTTGATACTGACAGACAAAAAACTTCATGTAAATAAAAACTTAAAAGAAATGAAATCATTTGCATAAGCTAACCATGTTTTTAAAAAAATAAATCCAGGAGCAAATTTAATATGAATTAAATTCTAACAAAAAATTGTAAGGTATCAATTTTCACCAGAGTAAATTGATCCTGTATCTATTGCGTGTTGCAGACAGGCAATACCAGTATATTTTAATAATCATTTTGCAGTCCTCTGAAGTACCATCAGCATCTTGAGCGTTTCTTCTTAGTTTCTATGTCTGCATGACTTGAACTGGATGTTCCTCTCTGTGGTCTTCATGGTTTCTGGCACAGCAAACACATCTATGACAAGCTCTCTGATATTCTTAGCAATTTTGGTGAGTTGGGGGTCAATCCTAGATAGTTCTTAAACCAATCAACCCGAAATTACTTCCCCACCAAATCTGGTTATTAGAGCACTATTGTAAAGGGCAGAAATTAATGTTCTATCACATCTGTTCATATAGACCACTGGTGAAACCTATAAAGCCCAGAAGCCCCAGCCAGCATGGCCACCATGGAGTTATATATCAGCAACTTTAGATAGCTACAAGTTTTCCACCCTTAATTTAAAGCATTTATATCTCACTTTATGGCCTGAAAGACACTCATAGCAACTGATAGAATACTTACAGGACATAACAAATTCTTTTTTAGGGAAAAATTATCAAAATTTATTAAAGCAATCAAAGATAATCCCAGATAGGCCAGTAGAATTTAATTTATGAGAATGGAGACATCACCATATAGTGTAGGATAGAAAACACCTCCCTCTCACACACATGCAACTATAATGAAGTAATATTCAAAGGAAACTAAATTCTCCCTCCCTCCCTTTTGAAAGCGTACAGATACTTATCAGGCTGTTTGGAAAAATTGTCTTTTAGCTTTTACATTTAAAGACTGTTCATCTTATAAGCATTTTCACTATTGTATGGAAAAAGGTAAAATCTCCCTCAAGATGAGTTGGACTCCTGGTAACTATATGGACACATCTCTGTTGTTTTCCTGGCAACAGTATACAAGTACTTTCAAGGGGTTTTTTTTTTGGCCTCTTTCCAGTTAAAACCCCAGGGTTGTCTAATTTATAATCCTGGGACTTCCTGGTGGTCTCCCTTCTAAGTACTAACCAGAAGCAAGTCTATCTTACCTTTGAATGGACCAGCTTATTTCTGAGCTATTACTTGAGGGGACAGTGGGACTTGCAGCAAACAGTTGCAATGTAGTGTTTCCTGTTTAACATTACATGATCTTAGATAACCCATTCAATTTCCTATTCTTTCACGCCAGACTTCAGTTTTTCCCTAAGCCATCAGCACTCTGTCACTGCAGTGTATGCTCAGCCCACTTTTGAACCTTAGGGATTTTGGGGTACTTCAAAGTTTGTGAACCCACATAAAGGAAGTTAGGCAGCTACTATCTTCCTTTATGTGGGTACATTAACACCAAATTAACATAAGAAGAATTATTTTGTTAATATAAGAAACAAGGGTAATATTTTAATAGTATTGAGTGTAGTAGATATTGAATAGATGGGACAGAAACAAAACTATACTGTTAGCTTGAACAGTTAAGTTGTTTGGCAACCATATCTTCCTTCTGCCTTTAATATACCTCTGTCTGATATTCAGAATATTGAGATTATAACAAGAAGTAATTTCCACAAGAGTGCCCTACTATGCATGCATTATGATTAAGGACTTGGTTAAATTATAAGCTTAGAACTTTGCCCTTTAAGCCTACAGGTCAAAGTGCTCAGTCAGTGAAAGAATGGGCAGAAGTACAGATTAATGCCTCATTTAAGGCAGGCATCTGAGTCTTTGGCTGCAGAGTTCACTGGACTTCATATTATTTATTTTCTTCACAGTACTGCTTCAAAAATAGAACATCTTTATTGATACAAATCTAAAAAGAGAAGACAGTGCAAATTTGTCTCCAAGAGAAAACGATTTTAAACATTCATTATAGATATTTACCAAACAATGCACCCAGACTGAGAGGGAGATCTGAAGGTAGAAGAACTGCCTTATTCCAAGGCCTGACATACTCAGAAAGGGCAGAATTGAGGAAGGGCATGGATGTGTTTTCCCACTTTAGTTTTGTCAGATCTCTCCCATCGTTCACAGGGGGAGGGGAAAACACTGACAAACATTTCTGTCAGTCCTGGAAAATGATATGGATGCTGCAGAACCAAGCCATCTTTTAATAATACCCATGTAATATTGATTATATGAACGTTTCACACTGGTTTGGAGGTTGAGACTTCACTTTACCCTTGTAGGAAGGACAGAATCAAAATGACACCTGGACACTGCCAACTGAATCATTATGTTCAGGATTTGCATTTGTATGTTTTTAAAAATACAGCATGAAGGTCAGTATAGCAAATACTCCATACCATATTTTAAAAAGTAAATATTGTGCTAGGTTCAGTATTATTTATTCCAGATATTTTGCTGATTTTGTTCACCCTAAAAACAGATTGTTTTACCTAGTACTATCTGAAACAGGACATGTAAGTAAATGTACATTGCTTTTGTGATGTTCATGAGGAAGTCTTCTAAGCTGTGTTTGGAAGTATGTTTACAGATAGAGCTCCATGACAAATCTTTCAAAGGCACTTTTTTTTTTCTGTCTCTAGCCTGGTTTCTATAATAGACTGTAGGACCTTATGGTCAACAGATTTTGTTACTTTTAGTTTCATTTTAAAACTCCACTCATTCTAGAAATAACATCTTCATGAATGATCAATTTTGCTAATAATCATCATTAATATTTGTGTCAAGGAATGGCAGAACTTGAAGTATGTACTGAAATTTATTCAAAGTGCTCTGTACACAACACTGCTTGTATGTAGTCTACGCTAAACTATATTGTGACTCTTCTGAACAACATAATTTACAACTATTTTTTCTGCTCATGTAATTTAAATAAAAAATTACATTAATAGCCATATTTATACCCATTTACAGGTAATATGCCACTACTGTGAAATCAATTCAGTGTATCACAAATTTGTTTAATATTTCATTGTTAATATAATAACTAATTTATTCTTACTAGCTTTTTTTAACTTTTTGAGAAATAAGTTTAGGTATCTCTCCTTTCATTAATGTCAGCAATTTAATGTATACCTGAGCTGTAAGCATCATGCTTCATGTTTTCTTAATTTTATATGTAATTCCAAAAATCAGTTTTACAGAATTGCCAAGAAATACATAACATTCTATTACTACATCACAATTTGAAATGTGTGCTTTAATACTTTTTGTTATAGAAAATAATACCCAGTCCATATAGTCTTCACCTCCAGGTCACTTAAGCACTGATGAGCCACAACTTTCTTGTCTTTTACATCCAGGGTTCCCATCCTTCCCAAGCTCTGCCAAGGATATTTGGGTCAGTGGCTTGATCAATAAGGCATTTCACTTGTACTTCTTCTGTAAGGTCATCCTCTGGTTCTCTGGCCCGGATGTTGAACTGTTTGCTCCCTTGTGCTACAGACAGATATTCCCTGAAGGCCTCAGATTTCTCATGGCCCAGGCGTAACTCATCACTGAAAAACCAAAAAAGCTTGTATGTAATCAGAATGACAACTACCATATTTCTCAAAGAAACAGTTAACTTTGGCATGAAATTAATCTTATCTGGGGTAATCAGAGTAAAGCTGAGTAAAACACTACAAAGGCATAAAAGGCACAGTTTACATTAAAAAAAACCCCATTCAAATAATATTGAGGAATCTAGATTTCCTTCACCCCGAGTAGCCCCAGGTAGTATCACAGTGATCTACAGTAGCTAGAGATCAGCAGTTTTTGGAGGCTCCCACTATTCAACTTGAAAGGCTCTTAGAGTTACTTGCAGAGTAACAGAATACATACACTTTATTACATACGCCAACACGTATATCACTTAGTCTTGTATGTCACTCAGTAACATTTGGAGAGCCCAAGGAATGTGAACAGTTATGAGGCAATGTGTGTGTTCAAGCCTCACTTGTTGCCTCTCATACTTAAAAGTACTTAAAGTGAAAGTATGTTCAATGATGTTTGATTTATGAGGGCTCTTACACACAAAATCACCTCACAATGAAATCTTCAAGAAACTAGCATGAATGTATACATCCTAGAGTTGTATGAAACAGTTTGAAATATTTTTATCCCAAAATGTTCATTCCTGGCCTCAGAAAAAGCATTTTCTCCTGTTCCAACCTCAAAACAGGTGATTCTGACCTACAATTTGATGTTGTACAAGGCTCATTTCAAGTTTGGAATGCTTTTGATGAAGTCAGAAAATTTTGGTCTCCCAACATTTTGCATACTTCTAATAAATTCATCCTAAAGTAGAACATAAGATACTAAAATTCCCAGTTTCCAGGCAATAATTCTTCCATTTGCATTTTTTAATACAGATCTGCACAAACTCATACCACGTAATCACGGCTGGATTAGCCCCTGCCAACTTCCTTCTTGCAGATTTTATTTTTTGTAGAGGGTACCAATTCACTTCATCTGTATTTATTTCCTTTGTCCATGTGCCACCTTTTCTCAACTGTTTCAGTTCAAAATTCTAAGGAGAGAAAATGTCAATCCATGAAACCAATATTATATGTTACAGTGCATATTATTCACTGCAGTTATCAATCAAAATTTTAAATTCCTACCTAATGTATGTGTGTATATGTGTGTACTGAATCTTAGAGGCTACCTATATCTTTAAGGTGATTTTATAAAATAAAATAGTAGTTTGCTCAAATTTCCAAATGACAAATATACTTTGCCTGATTTATTTACTGGAGGAATAGTGATGCTAAAGTATAGGAATGAATGTATTTTAAAATTCAGTGTTTACTTGTTGAATAGCAATTCATCTAATAATTTCTCTTCCTATTTTCAGGTGTGCCAAAATTAAGAAGTCAATAGCTTACTTTCCAATCCAAAGAAGGTTCCTTTACAAATATATCCATAGTATTAATGAGAACATCTTGATTTATACGGTAGGCTCTTAAGGAATGTACCATCACACTGTTTATAAGACCAGATTCTTTCATTGGCAACATCAAATTAACAAATTGGCGAGTTAAACGGAAAGGCATCAACTCTGGAACTTGCAGAAACTACAAAAAAATAATAAAATTATTGAAAAATCCATAAAGCAAACAAGAAAAATTTCACCTTTTCTGCTCATAGCAAAAAAACCTGTGATTTATGAATAGCAGAAGTCACCACATGTTAAAGGGACATGGCTTCTAGTTATAAATGCATGTATTTGTATATTATTATGTCTATACCTTATCTGACTTTTAAGGCACCCAAAGAAACTAGTAAGCTATTAAGGGCACAAAAGAAGGGGACTGGCATATACTTTCCCTTTTAATTTCATATCTATTCCTCCTAGCAGGAAATGGTCTGCTATTATGGAAGAAAGCAAGCACTGATCCAGAAGGCTATTTCATTTTGGTCCTCTTAGCTACTGAAATTGTGATAGCAGAGAGGGCAAAATAATGGTGCTCTAAATGGATTCTCTTGCCACTGCAAAGAGCAAAAGCTGAAGGGACCTGTGAGCAGAAAAAGAAATCTCTAAAATCCCATGGTTCCTCAAAAGCATCCCGAGGCTGTAAGGTTTCTTCTGCCCTGGCTTCCTTCAATATAGCCATAAACACTGGAAGAAGGACAGGAGGAGAATACCTGTGTTGCTGAACCAAACGCGTGTCCGAAGTCTATCCCCACCATGCCTCCAGTCTCTGTACTGATCATAAAATTTGATAAGTGTCGATCACCAATGCCAAGAATCCAGTGGCTGATGCAGAGCAGTGCATGGGTGCTGGCAAAATGGGATCGCAGAGATAGCAAGGCTTCTGGAGTTGTACTCATTTTAACAAAGGCTTTCCTTTAGAAAGTAAATAGATTTGTATTAGAAATTGCTGAAATACAACTTAGAAACTACTTTCAGATAATGTAAGTTCTGGAAATCACAATATTAGAAACTCAGAAGAATGGGTCTTTTCCTTATCTTTTCAGACATATAATAAAAAGCGAAAAACAAGAAGAATTAGGCTGTTTTGTGAAAAACTCAGAGGAAGATTTTCTTTAGAAGTGTACACCAGGGGTCCCCTCTGGCACTGGGGATTTAAAACAGCAGAGGCCATGGGAAAGTGAGGGAGGAATAACTCCTAGCAATGTATTTTGTATATAACCATACTTTTTAATCTGTTTAGCCAATCTAATTATTTTAAGACCTCTTGAGTGTTCATACCAACAACATTAATACTAACTATTCCTATTCTATTCACTACTCTTATTTCAAAGCCCAGAGCTTTGCAAGAACACCCTTACCTTACCTTAGCAGATCTTCAGGAACAGAGTTTTCTCGACGCTGGAAAGATATCACTGTTTCTGTTCGACTAGCTCTTCTGAAAATTAGAACAAACAGTAAGAATTATAACCAGGTAACTGAAATATGTGAATTGCAATAAAGAATCAGCTAGAGACATTTGCTTTTCCTATTTTTAATCTGTGCTTATCCTAAATCTCTTTTATTTTTTGCTCTGACAGACTTCAAACTACAAACCTGATTAGGACGTGAAGCACCAAGAACACTGAAAGGGTGGCACAGAGAATTATATTCTAAAATAATTGCTGTTAGCATTTTAATAACAATGTTATATAATGTATAAGTACTTGTCTAAAAACCCCAAAATATTTGCATCAAAGGATAGGCACAAATAAACATAAATTAATTGTGTTTTGTTGTATACTTCTGTGGGGATTATTTAGGAGGATACAACTTGGGCAATCATGTATTGAACGCAACTGAACTAAATTGCCCTTAATTCCAAGGATATTTTTCTTGCTTGCAGACTGAGCTAAAAACACAACTACAGCCTAGCAACCATCCCTTAATTAATACTCTTCCATGTCTGTATATTATCTTTCAGTTCTTGCTCTCTGCTCTTACTGTTCTTCCTGCTTTAAGCTATGCTTACAGAATTTAATTCTGCCTTATAAAGATACTTTAAATCTGTAACAATTGCTATACTGCTCATATTAAGTGCAATAATTCAACAAATGCAGAGAAATAGAGGAAGTGGGAAGAAGGGGAGCAGGTATGGATGAGCAATCACTGCAGAACTGCTCTATCTACAGAAGGAGTCCTGTAAAACAGTTTTTGCTATTACTGAAACAGAAGACAAGAATATCCTGCTGTCAGTATTTGTGTGTGTGTGTGTGTGTGTGTGTGGATTAATCTGTCTGATGGATAACAAGTATTTCCAAGACTTACTTGAACACGGTCATGTAACGTTCAATTCCATCTGTTTCCCCCATCTTGGACAGCCAATCCCTATAGTCAGCACAAGGACCTTTGGGGCTTTAGAGAGGGACAGAATACAAACATAATCTACATGCAGGTATTTATACATCATCTGAACTGTTAAAAGTGCTTACTTTCTTATTTGTTTTTAGCATTGATGTGTTATCTGTAAGAGCAATTAATGTACTAAATCATTAATGTTTTACCAGTATTCTAGAATAACATTTTCTGAAGACTAATTAGCTTTTTTGCAGATGGCTGTTACATCTGTTAATAGAACATGGACCAAGAGAATGTGAACATTACTACCAATGCTGGATTCGATCACGTCAGTTTGAACTGTTACAAGAACCCCCACAATTGTTTAAATATCAATGGGAGAAATAGTCTGTTACACAGAATCTGTTCACAGAAAACAGCCAAGCGCCTGGTGTAAATCAAAAGACAGCAGGTAAGTGGGACTGAAAAATATTCAACTGAATTTGTACTACTTTGTAGGTTCAAACCCAGACAAGGCTGTCAAACAGAGTATGCCATGTATGATATGAGAAAAATTTTGGTAAGGGCCAATAAGCGAGGACAGGCACTGGATCTGGGCAAAAACAGTTCTCTTTAATTTAGCCTTCACACAAGCCTACAATTGTACACGGTCTGTCCGTAGTTAGAGCCGCTTTCAGCATCACAGCGTTCATGAGAACAAAAATTACTCCCAGGGTGAAAAGTGGCTTAGATTCTGTTGAATGATGCAAGATTGAGGGCTCCTCACACTGCCCTAATTCCCCACCGCAGGAATTGCCGCCTGCTGCTATTGATCTGGTTTCCACACTAAAGCAAGCATTTACCCAGATCTGAAGCTCCAGTCTGACTAAAGTTCACATCCTAATTATTTAAGCTAAAATGACACTTAAAAATCCCTTGCTTGTAAAGAAGTAGTCTGTTGATAAGAATATGGCGATGAAGAATCCACAGGTAATAAAAATCTTTTTGCTTAAATATTAAAGTAGAAAATGTGGGATATAGGTGACATCACACCCATTAAACAAACAGCTGCCAATTATAATCTAGGCCAGGAAGTACTTTAACCTTTGAAGATTATTCTCAGCTGATCCAATGGACATTAGTACAATAAGTAATATTCACTGATTGGAGATACCTAACAATAGCAGCAAAGAAAGTCATTAACAAACCAGAACAGTTATGTTCCTCCTACCTGTTATAATAATTCTTTTCCTGTTCAGACATGTTTTTCAAAAGGAACTCCTTTAATGTACAGGTATTCTCAAGCCATTCAATCAGTCCCAATCTGTAAGAAAATAAATCCCATTTTTTTTTTTTTTGCTATAATATGGCAAAATAAAGAGAACATATTTCTGATGGTGGAAAAAATATGTAGAGGAATTAGACAAATTGTCTGTGTTAAAATGTTGTAAACACACAAGAGATAGCACTGTGCATGTTTTGAAAACAGCTTGGAAGAGGTGCTTCAGAATGCTTCAGTAATTCAGAGGTGGTGCTCTGGCATATATGGGAATTATTTCCAAGAACGTCTTGTGATGAAGACAGAAGTCTATGTGCTACATAAGGGCCTAGCATGTCTCTACCTGGTTGTCATTGGTACAACTTGGTACGTTTTTATCTGCATGTTTCTTTGGCTGCAGGCAGCATCTCGTAAAAGAATGTTATTCATAACTTCAAAGAGCTGCTCAATGCGCTGGTCTTGCCGGAGATCTTCTCCTCCTTTCACAAGAAAGGGATATTCCCGCTCATCATGGCCTCGGATAACTATACGCTTTGGTTTCCGGATGGATTGCATTACTTTTATCTTTCACAGAATATAGAAAAAGAAAAAAATACAGAACAAATAAGAAAATACTCTGTTATAGGAATTGACCCATAAAGAGGTTATTTATTTCTATACAGCATGAAAAACAGAAATGAAATTCTTTCCTGAGTTTTTCAATGGGCATTGTCTCCAAACAGCACCTATTGTCTGTTTTTATATTTTATGTTTTTGTATATCACATAGGTCTAGTGATCTGCAGTCTGGGGATCAGGGGATCAAAACACTGTCAATAAATATTATTTATAATAAATAACAAATAATAAAATTGGAAAGCACAGGCTGAAGGAGGTAAATCACACCAAAAAGGCACTAAAAATGCTAACAGGATTACTTATGGACAAAAGTAACAACAACAGTGTCATGTGAAAAATCTTCCAGTTTTAATATGCAAACAAGGGAAAGAACCCAGCTTTAGGAAAAGCCAAGGATATCCTACAATTCTTAGTGGCCTTGATAGAGCTCTTAAGCATGATTATACGATACAAGCAACATTATGAGAAAGCCATGTTGCAAGTAAAGAGAGTCAGTTCACTGCAGGCCATTTTTTTTCAAAAGGCGCAGCCCTCAAACTCTTTTGGTGTACAGATTTCCAATGAGAAATCTAATTGGGTATTGGCAGCTCTCATGGACCCTCCATTTGAACTTACAGCCATTTAGATTTTTGAAAGTGGTGATAAAAACTGCCTTTCTTGTAGTCATTATGTTCACAAGATGGATTTCACTGTTTGAGATTCCCCCATTAGATTCCCAAGTATGTTCTACAGTGATAAATCAGTATTTAGAATAGACTTGTCATATATAAGTAAACAGGATTCCCCTCTTGATTGATCACCGTAAAGTTCTTCACCTTCCTTCTGTCCCAGGGTTGGTGCATTTTGGAACGCTGGTTTAGAATTCAAGAGATCAGGAAAAGTGAAGTGCGGGAAAAGTGAAGCACTGGTTGTAGTTTTTCAGGAGTGTTCTCTGAGCAAATTGTCACTGAGCAGTTCTAGATGTTTAACATATGAATGAATGTTTTCATTCTGTACATGGGGGAAGGGCGCTCTACATGGGGCTACCCTTGAAAAGTATCTGGAAGCTGTAGCTGGTGCAGAAGGCAGTGGCATGGGCCATTATGGGTACCTCTAGGGCTGCACTTGTAACACCTCTGCTGTGTGAACTGCATTGGGTGCCAGTTTGCTTTTGGGTCCAATTCAAAGTGTTGGTTATGACCTTTAAAGCCCTGCATGGCATAGGCCCAGGTTACCTGAGGAACTGCCTCGTCCTGGTTACATTGGCCCATCCCATGCAGTCCAGCAGGAAGGACATGTTATGGGCCCCACTGGCTAGTGAATTTCAACTGGCAGGGTCTAGGAGGAGAGTCTTTTCTGCCTTCGCCCCCACCCTATGGAATATCTTGCCCCCTGAGGTGACACTGGCCCCTACTCTCCTGGTCTTCTGGAAGAGCGTTAAGACGTGGCTCTGCCACCTAGCATGGGGATCTAATGGGGGCTTGCAGCACTGGGGGTGGTTGGTGGTTTGAGGATGCTCTCTCCGTCTCTTAATTCTGTATATATATTGTTTTTCGTAAAGTTTTTTTTTTACTGTTTTTATCACTTTTTCACTTGTAAGCTACCTAGAGTCACTTATACAAGTGAGATGGGCAGCATATAAATTTGATAAACAAACTATTCTATATTTACACACACACACACACTATAAACTAGACCTATGTGATATACAAAAACATAAAATGTAAATAAATGAATAAAAAGATGTTTAAGATAAGATGAAAGCTGGTCAGGTGACTTTGGGCCAATCACTCTCTCTCAGCCCAACTCACCTCACAGGAGGAGTTCACAGTAGGAGAAGGAAGGAGTATTAGGTGTGTTTGCTGCCTTGAGTTATTTATAAAAATAATAAAGGAGGGATAAAAAAAATCTTAAAAAAAAAAGATAATGCATAATATAATGCAGCCCTATCTAAAGAAAAAAAATCAGCAAAGAAACCAGAATGTCTGCATTCCCTCTGAGGGACCTTAGTTGCTTTTCAAGAAAATTATCTATACTTTGTAGAATCAGTATAACTTGTCATCTTTATTTAAGACTTCTACTCAACTACATATATTGTGATAGCATACAGAGCTTCCTCAGTAGGTTTTTCCACAAATAATTATTTGTGACTGAGGAGGGCATTTTACAAGCATGGGAGAAGCAAGTTTCTAAAAGTTTGGATGCCTTTGAAGGAAGAAACTTAGAAGGGGGTCTTCTCAGTTAATTTCAACCCCTTTAATAATATCTTCCCCCCCCCCTTCCTTGTAAATTACTAGCCTTGCTTCATTTTCTCTTCCATTTTATTCCATTTTTCTTTCATTCACTCTCTAGTGCAGCTACTCCTTTCCTTTCCTTGCCTCCATTGTGCTTGTTTTCTCCCCCTTTCATTTTTGCTGTTTCTGCTGGAAGGAGGGAGAGGAATGTGTGCAACTGTGTATTTTGATCTATGATAGTTAATCATGGGTTATATGCAGATGGGGGCATCAATTAATTTTATAAACAGAATCTCTTATCTTCCAACCAATTAATTTTAATTTATAGTTGTTATTAGCTCCTCCTGCTTTGGAACATGAGTTCTGGAGATACAGATCCTACAGATGTGTCATAATCCTACTTATTGTACTGAATGGATTAATCTGGGAAAAATGTTGGATTATAATTTAAAATTAGAAAATAAATTTCTACTACAATGGTAACAGTATGCTCTGCAGGTTAATATTTAACATACCCTCTCATCAAATCCAGAAATTTTTGCATGATATTCCGGCAATGGCTTTCCTTTACCATCATACTGACCTGAATAAGTAAAAAGTTGGTTTTTTTCAGTGCGATTTTTTAAAGAATGCTTATTTGATTAATCAAATAACACGTAACTTCATCAGAATGTATTATCTGTTTGACATATTTTTATCTGGTACACAATGCAGTACTAGATTGGTAGAAAATCTCAATGACTAGCAGGTTATTTTTATAGTAGAAAGGTAACCATATGGGAAGGATGCCTGTTAAGGGTGTTTCCATCCTACAGGTGAAACTCGAAAAATAAGAATATCGTGCAAATGTTCATTTATGTCAGTATGGCAACTCAAAGGGTGAAACCAATATATGAGATAGATGCATTACATGCAAAGTGAGATATGTCAAGCCTTACT